AAGGTGTAACAAACTGCCTCACTGTGTAAAATAATTTAAAATGGAATGTATAGGTACGTGACATGTGATTCTTTTCTAGTCATTTCCAACAAATTAAGAAACTGTTTACAATAATATTTTTCAGCAGAAAAGCCCATAATTGTGATCAACTGATGTGCTTTTAACACAGTTATATGGAATAATAACAATCATATGATAATGCAAAATCACTGTTAGGCGACAGGTGAACAATTATTCCGTAACACAGTACATTATATACGGCACTAGATACCTTAGTTATTACTTACTGTAAAGGTATAACTAATTATAAAATTTCATATTAAAATACAAGGTGGCTTACATTGTATCCACTCATCTGAGCTGGCAATCCTGCCAGAACGAACTTGCGTATGTATAGCATACCTACGTCTGTGGACAGCTAAGCGTCAGATAAGTAACATATCATTGACTGGTGAGTGGTTGAGAACTATGACAGTGAAAGCTTTTATTCAAATGGATGCTGTCTCAAAGGATCAGAGGATACTAATGGAAAACAATGAAGGTTGCCAGATTTGTGAGCAAAGCAGCTGGTGCATATAGTTTGGTTCCAACATGACAGCGCAATAGCAAATACAATTATGGATGTACTCCGACAGACATTTCTTAATCGTCTAATTTTCCTTCTTGGTGATTTGACATGGCCATTCCTCTCATCAGATTTGATAGTCATTTGTCATGGTCATCTCTCTTTTCAGATTCGACAGCCTCGGGCTTTTTCCTTATTTGCAGATTACCTGAAGTTCTTGCATATCATTTGCTGGTGACTGATAATCTGAAGACTGCAATCGGCCTTGGAATATATGATTTATTACAGAATATGATGAGATAAATTTTCTGAACAACTTTAGAACTATGCATCAGTGTGGAAAGACGATATTTTTAAGGTTCATTTATATCTATACTGGGCGAATCATACGACTCACTTTGCTTATGAGTATACCGTTATTTCGCAAGCATTTAAAATTACTGTAAGCAATCACTGTCTTCCTGTTGTTATTTAAAGTTAGCAGATGCAATATGCGCCCCTCTGCCTATTAAAAATTAAATCAAATAGACGTATTATTGAAAATTACTATGGATTACATCATTTATAAACATCTCCTATTGTTTTTTTAAAATCTATAATGCATTACATTCAATTCCGATTTGTAGGAGGGGGGAGGAATAATTGGGATTGGGATTATTCAATTATGGTAAAGCACACGAGGGCTATCTGTCTAAAGGGAGGGATGCCTTCGTGGAGGACTTTCTAGGAAGGGGGCGAATAAATAAATTACGTATTCATCGGACCTTTTTAAGGAAAAAGTTAAATTTATTTATTGCATAACTTAGGAAAATTACTATTACTAACCACCAGAACTGACTGCAGAAAACACAAAAGAAAAGGAAACATGCAAAAGATTACAGCAGTGATAACAGATGATTTATTAGTATTTGGGAGTTGGTTTTATTTAAAACAATATGTAATTTTATTTTAAATAATCTAGAATATATAAATATTCACAAATCATTCACTAAAAGTAAACTGCTCAATCGTAAAAATAAATTAAGTACACAGCCTTTTATCGTACGTTTCACACTGACTCCTATCGAAATGCAAGAGTAATGTAAGAAAGACAAGCAGCAAGGCACAGTGAGTGAAAAAGAGGCAGATATTAAAATGTATTTTGTTTTATTTATAGCAGTTTTCTTTCTTTTAATTACTGATTTAATTTGCCTCATCAAATGAACTTATTCTCCCTATTAAACTGCTTGAAAATACAAACAAATTGCTAATAATTTGATTATACATTTTTAACTGCCGTCTTTTCTTGTATTACTGTGGTAATTCTTAAGCTGATGTAGTTTAATTTGGCAGATAAATAAAAAACATCCTTCCACAGGATTGGCAACAAACTCGCAAGTCAGCAAAATTGGTGTAACAGCAACATGAAGTGACACGTAGAAATAGTGTAGAAAATTCTAACGTTAAATAGGAAAGCAGCAAATATTTAAAAAGCTTTCATCAGTTTAGGCATATATACTAAGGATAACAAAACTTATTCTTAAAGTGTCGGTTAACAAAATTATAAAACCAGGAATTCTCTGCAAATTTTGGAGTAGGTAAAATCGACAGAATTAAAACTAAAAAATGAATGGCTTTCTTAATGGATTTAAGAAATGGTTTCTAATAATATTAAGCATTAACTTGTAATATAAGTATCGACATTTTGATAAACTATCGAACTTTATAAATTTCTTTTATGTTATATTTAACATCGGTTATATAATATATTAAATTTACTACAACAATATGTAACTGATTATATATTATATTAAATGTAATGTACACAATATTAAAACATTTTGGTATAATTCAGAAAGGTAACATTTGGTTGTTACTTTTGGTTTGTTAACATTAACAAATAAACATTTTGGTATAATTCAACAGTAACATTTATATCTGTAATATTTACAATAAAGTAAATTTAATTAAATTACAATTTTATTATCATAAATAGAAAATATGCATTGAAAATACATATGAAATAATTCTCAATCTTAAAACTGTTTTGCATAAATGGCTAAAATACAGTAATTACTTAACATGAGATGAATCACGACCAATATATGAAAGAAATTTTGATTAATTTTAGCTAATAGTTCATCTAGTTTTTACCATCCTTCTTGACAAATTTGTTTGTTTGAAAACATTTTATGACCATAACAAACTGAGATTAAAGAACATTACACTTTCATACAAAAATAACACACGTTTTGAACAAACTTTTTCAACAGCATGCAATAAATTAATATCATTGGGACATAATTACGGTTTTAGCTAAGAAGATTCCATTAGAAAATAACCAAAGCATATATTACTGAATAAAAAATCTGAGTAATTAAAAGAATGACACTGTGTGTAGAATTTCTTTCAGACTTCATTTACATTACATGTGCGAACGAAAGGGCTATGGCTTTTGTTGGCTGTGCATCGTCTTTTAGCGATTTCTATTAGGAAACTTCAAGGAAAGAACTTCGTAGTTGTATCCTATTCCATGGCAGTGTAATTTAAATCCAGGTAATTTGGCTTTAATTAAAATTGAGAGAAGACATAGAAAAGCAAGACAAAAGGAAATTCCACCGTCCATGTAATCCAGTGAAAGAGTTAAGCAGACGATTTTTCTTTCTTTGCTGTGTTTCCACTGGTTCGCATTCCATTTTACTAATTCAAGAGACGAAGTATGTTTGACTTGGTCTTCGAATAGTGGTAACAAATTAACTGCTATTCATGTTTAATGGATTTAAATTAAAAATCATTCATCTTATAATGGTGAAGGCAAAACCTTGCTAGAATAATGAACACACATATGAGTTCAACAGTAACCATAGCAACGATATTTGGCTTCAAAACGTTCTGCTTTAATTGTTGAGCAATGAAAAGTTTCAAAAACTGTGCATACATTAACAAGAGATGTTTCATTGTTCTCGAAATCATTGAAACATTTAGAATCCTTCACAACGGATCTTATTAAGAATTCTATTATATATTTCAAGATAAAACCGGAACTAGAGAACTAAGAAAGCATTAAATTGTATAGTAATCAAATAAACGACTAATAACCGAAAAAAAAACTAATTAAAAACTAATATTGTTGAAGTTTCAACATTCATTTCTTTTAGTGAGATTTCTGTCACACTCAAAGAAATGAACACTGAGTAACCGCCAATTAGGAACTATTAAAATATCTCTAAGCTCCATAAGATTAACAGGACTATAAAGGCTTTAATAGCTGCTCTTATAATGTTTTTTTATGGAAGAAAGTTATTATTTTAAAACTCTATACGATGCAAACATGAGAGCATCTTCATGAAAGTGGTTAGTATCTTTAAAGGAGGTTGCCTGTATAATGTATTTGAAAAATGGAATTTTCCAGACGCTTTCCAATAAGTTTGCCTCCAGTGCTGATGCAAAAGTGTTCACGGTTACAGATGGGCAAAATAATTTACAAAGATGCTTACTTGCTGCACCGGATAAGATACGCAGAGTCAATTTATTTAAATTTTTTTCATTATTAATAATTATCATTATGTACTTCTGATCAAGTTCAATTCTTATGTTGTTAAGGACAGTCTGAAATTTTTTCAAAAATAATTACCAGTTTGTCTCTTAAGAGGAGCTTATATTAACTACATATATTAATAATACTGTACATATTAATATTAATAAATGCAATTAATAATATAATATTTCTGTATATATTAATATTAACGATAATTTAAAGCGACATTGGGGTAAACTATTTTCATATTAGTTTTTATCTTCCATTTTGTTTCAAGGATTTCGGCTATAACAGAGTTATAAAATGCTGCGATAAATTCGAAATAAGAATATGGTCCATTTATTAGAGTATAAGGTATTTCTCCCGCCTTCTTCGCATGCCTTCGTAGTGTGGTGGTATGCACGCTGGCCGCGTATTCCAGAGGTCCACAATTCGATTCCTGGTGAAGGCGTTGCTAATTTTTCACCTTTCCTGCTTCCAAAAATACCTAATAATACCTAATGTCTCTATAAGGGTTAAATCAAAAGACAAACAAAGAAAAGAATAGATAGGCCGCAAAATAGTACCAGCTTTCTTAAACTCTGAATTTAAGTTTATGCATCTTCGTGTTATTGAGAAAAATGATTTTCTAGACATATATATAAAGCAAAGCATGTATATTAAATACAAAAGGACGAACATAATGACAAAGCAAAAGATAGAGAGGAAGCATACGAACATAAAAGAAAGAAAGAAAAAAAGAGAGGAAGAAAAAAACCCGAGGAAAATTAGTGATAAAATAAAAGTTATCAAAGTTAAAAGGTGATAAAGAACAGAAAGAGAGAGACAGAGAGAAAAGGACAAGAGAGTAGAGGAAAAAGAAAATGATGGAAGGCGATAGATAGATATAGAGAGAGAAAAAGAAGTGAAGGAAAAAGAAACTTATTTGATAGACAAAAACAGAAATACAACAGATAGAAAGAGAATAAATGAGAAAAAGAAAATATAAAATTAATTTGCTTATAAGATGTTGTAAAGTAAATAAATGAAATAAATAGAAAGGGTTAAGTATGGAACTCATAAATGATGCTAAAGAAACTAAGAATAAGCAACAGGCGTTCCCGTAACCGTAAATTCTCAGTACGTTTAAATAGAATTTTCTTCCTCAACCGAGGAAGTGAAAATGATGGAAAAAAATTGCGAGAGGAAAATTTCGAATACCAGAGAATAATTTCGAATTCATTATATTCAAGCAAATGAAGAAGAAACTTCAATCTAACTTTCGGAATTACGACTCAGCCTTTCAAAAATTTTTGGTTTTAGTTCCTTTTAATTTAACTTTCGGTCAACAGATGGCGCTAAGAGATTCGCTTTCGATCATACATCTAAACCATTCTCGATTTTTTCTCTTATTCTAAAGCTGTGATGCATGTTCCTTTTATATCATTTTCATACCCCCAGAAAAGGAAGAAAGCTATTTAATATTCAAAACCATAGTCCTGCAAATCAATCCCGCTGCTCAGATTAATTTTGCTTATTATTGTTTAAACGTTTAGTTCTTCGACAAGTTCTTTTGGTACATGTTCGAACCTCTAAGCTACAAAAAATATGGGTAATCGCACGAATTTTTGATTAATACTTTTAAATATGAAAGTTATTTGAAATGGCTTGATTCGGTGAGACTAATAAAAAAATTCATATGACTTTATTGAAATCTCAGCATTGGAGTCAAACAATAGATAAAAGTTTGCTGCGAATTTATCATCACCAATACTTCTTATATATTTAATTTTTACTTTAGGTAATGAATGAACGTTTTTCTGAATAAAATAAAGAGCTACCTATGCATATATTTCGAGAAACATGTGTTTTGGCACTTTTCTACAAAGGGTTAAATGTTATGTTTATTCTTATTCCCCAGTTCCGATCCTGAAATATTATTAATAGCTTTAAAAATGAAAGATCGAAGTTCATATCCATTGAGTTTTGTTCATGTGTTGATGCGTTCTGAACATATATTTCAGAAGAGTTTATCGGACGGCTTATGGGAGCGAACATTTCAAATCCTAGTCCTTTTCTTGAATTTATTAAACAGCACCTCAGTAGAATTTCCATCACATTAGGTGTCATCCCTAATGATCCTGAAATATAAAAAAGAAAATATTACAGTATAGGTTTTAATCAATTAGGAATATAATGAGTTCTAAATAGGGCAAATGCAATGTTTATTGGTTGTATCTAAATTTACACTGCGAAATTCGAAAAGCAACCGCTTTATTCTTTGTATAATTAACATTACACACATTTACAGGTATATGGTTAAAGAAAAGAAAAATATATAATGATTTTTATGCTGCATTCATTTCTTCAACAAAATTTACCAGGAGGTGAATAAAAAATTTAATTATTAATTATTTGAATATTTTGAAAACTATTCCTTCCATTTTCTTGGGGAGCGCATTAGATATGTATGGTTGTACTTTGAATTTAATTTTTTCTGGTTGCAATTATTAAGAAACCACCGCGTAAAAAATACAACTGAAGAAGCTAAAATATAATTCATAAATATAATTTTAGCTCTTCAACTACAATATAAAATATTATGTTACCGATCATTTAAACATAAAACAGAGTTTTGTGTTTTTGAGCTTCATAAAGTTTAGTAATTAAAACCTGTTAATTTTATTTTATAATCATAAAATTTATAATCATAAAATATAAGCATAAAATTGAAAATTCTACTATTTATCTGATTTACTAATGATTTGGCTTTCTTTTCTTTTTTAACAAATGGCGTTAAGTATCGTCTGCATCACTTTATCACATTCGAATCTCTGCACGGCCCCGAGAACATTTTTATATCACTGAAAGACTATCTTTCATTTTAATAAATGAAATTATAATGTTAATTATTGTAATTTAATAAAACAATGATTTTTAAATAGTACTTCAGAATATTTTAAGACAGATATCTTTAATCTCATAGTTTGTATCTGTATTATTATATAAATATTTTATAAAAACTATTCTAATTAGCTTTTATTTAGTTTATTTATTTTGTTTCACTGTGAGTGGAATTCAATCATCGATTTTACTTCCTGCTAAGGTATCGAGATCAAAATCTGTACACACACCTTTTGTCGATGACAATGCAATATGGTGAAGCAATATGTTTTAAAATTCGATTTAGATGTTTTTAAATTTTAATGTTATATTGAGTTTTAGCCCATAATTTCATTTAACGATAAGACTAAAAATATCAGAATTTTATTGTTTGCATTATCGAATAAAGAAAAAAAAAAAAAAAAAAAACCTTTTCAATGAAATGTATATAAAAATTGTAACTTAATTTCTGAGCTTTTGGCGAATTGTTGAAAATCGCTCAGTTTTTTAGACTATTCGATATTTTTTAAAATTTCAACATCGAGAAATGTATCAGATATAAAGGTTTGAAATTTTCATAGGCTATAAAACAAAATATCTCCCTATTTAAAAAAATGATAAAAATGCAGTAAAATAAACAATCATCAATGCTTAAATGCCTGAATGAGATACAGAATTATTGCTAGATTAGAGGCAAGACACGTTCATGTTCATATTAATAGAGCGCTCAGTATCATGCTTAATATTGTCTGCAATTTCTGAAAACAGTTTCAGAAGACTTGATTTATGCCTAGAAGGCTTGGGCAACGGCATACAGGAACCATGATGAAGCGAAATGGAGTTCTCCTTTCTTTTGAATTACAAACATATGCTATTGTAGTCGTTAATAATACAGTTTTGCTTCGTGTCAATAGCCAACTTGATGGATTTTTATGAGAACCATCTGCATTCTTGTTTATAATTGCATAACTGGAAGTTTCCATTTTTGTTTTTTCTGATTGTTGATCGATGGCGCCATTACTGAGTAAGCGATGATTATTATGTTTACAATAATAAAAAAATGGCCGCATAACACTGTCAATTCATTGATATTGCTTTGCGTTTGCTGGTTTGTTCTTGCTTTTCGTGAAGTTCCTTTTCAGTGATATGGAAATGTGAAGCTTTCTGTACAAGAAGGAAAGAATTTTGTATTTTCGTATAATTTTTCAATGTGAACGAAATAAGTGTAGTTTGTTGATTATTATTGTATAAATGTGTTTACCTTTCTTAAAATTCATATTAGTGGTCCATCAAATGTAAAATTATATATGAAGTGATCCGTGAAGTTCTAAGGGATGACGACAGCTGAAATGGACGACAATGATCAAATACAAAAAGTTTAAGTTATTAGGCGGATATGTGAAAAGTGCGGATATTCGGTGCATTGCTTGACCAGTCAGATCTTCCGATATGAATCTTAGCAAACATCTCTAGAACGCAATTAGAACGACAATTGCAATTCGCTAACAAAGTCCAACAATCATTCATAAGCTAAGAACTGCTTTCTGTGTAAGACCTGGTTTGGCAGTAATAGGTTAGAGGTGATAACATAATGGCTTCTTAATCTCAGTTTAGTCGCCATATTGAAGTATTGGTTTTGAACATTCCTACTCTCATGACATTACTACCAATTATGAGTAGCTAATTTCATTGTCTGGTGATATAAATCGATGGTTTATTAATATATATCCACTCTAGATTTCATTATAATCTGGCCAAAACTTCCAGAAAAATGCTACAGAATGTCATTATTCTTGGTTTCTTAATTCTAGATTCAAATGTAGGATAAAAATATTTAATCCGCCATTTTTTCGAAATATATGCGAATTTCAGCATTTAGGTAATATATGCATGGCAATTAATAAAACGTTATAAATATATTCTAAAACAACCTGAAAGAAATGGAAAGGTATTTACATATTATCCAATCGATCGGCCAAGTAGCGCGATTTAGCGTCATTTATGGATGATAATTACTTCCTTTAGAATTCTGCAGCAAATATTGGCGATCGATCGGCTACCATTGCCGAAATTTCTGACATAGGTCGACTGAATAATATGTGAGCACCAAAATAAATTTACATTTCAAAATATATAAGACGAGCATTTAAACTGAATAAACACGTACACCAATAAATTGAAATTTTTGATTGTGCACCACGTTTTTCTCACACTTTTCATGCACATTATCGCACATGAAACAGTTTATGCAAAGTTGTTTCATCTTCACACATTTTCCTTTTCATTCAAACGCATTCGAATTCCGAGCAGCATTCGCTCCTGAGCAAAATTTCTCCTGAAAAAGAAAGATAATACAAAATGCTTTTACTTGAGGAATTTCTATAGAAGAAGGAAAACTAATTATAGTTCAACAGAAGTAGTTCTTAACAACTTCACCATGAAATAATATTTAAAGTAAGTTTCATCACTTAGAGAATCTCTATCTGAAAGCTATTATAATTACAGCTTTAGCTTTGTAATTAAACGGTTAATGTCCAGTTTAGAAGTCCACGCTTTTGGGGTACAGACTAGGTAAGGGAGATATTAGTTATAATAAAACAAAGCAGTGTAAGCTGGAGTAAGCATTTGAGTGAGGCTTTACTAATTTCTTACTTATCTCATTGGCTGACTAAAATTAACCTGAAAAATCATTAAGGCATTTGAATTATTCGTAATTCAGTAATTTAATGTCAATGAAATATGAGTTTTTATCATTTAAGATAGAAATGAATTATGAGATATGTAAGAAGCGTTATGTAAATTTAAACTAAAAATGGCTTTTGCTTTAACTTTAAATTGGTGAAAAATAAGAATTTTATTTATTTTAGGCAACTTTTGTAAGCGATGTTTTTTTTGCTTTTCATAAATTTTTGAAGATTATAAAATAGGTCCATCAAGTTTCTATTAACTTGTTTAAACAAAAACTTTAATGATTTTTCTGATGATGATGACTTTAATGACTGATGGATGATTTTTCTATTTGAAGACAGGACAAAATTAATTTTATTATGCTGCGGGTTAGTAGAAATGAGGCAGTAAATGGTCCATTGAATCTTTTAAGAATAAACCATAACAATGGGATAAGTTGACGTTATAGCAATAGATGACTGATTCAGCTCAAGAAAGAAAAGACGACATTGAAACGCTAAAACATTTGGAAACATAGTTTTACAAACGCAGTAATGGTAAAGGGAAAATTGATCTTTTACTTGGAAAAATGTTTATCAAGCCGCACATACATATTTATTTCAAATTGAAAGCTCAGAGAGGTATCAAGTATCAAAATATCGTATGATCCTTTTATGCTGCGTCAATACGTGTGCTAAAACCTTCTTAATTGCACAAAGAAAAAATATTCCGGTATTTTAAAGGAGAAAAATATTTACTAATGGACCATAAGTATAATTCAAAGACATGGCTGATGTCAGAAATTTTTAATGAATGACTTTTGAAACAAGATAACGAAATGAAGAATGGTATTCTTCCTTTTGCCAATTGCACAGCAAAAGTCTCTCTTAAGCGCAAATATCTCTCTTAAGCGTATTGAATTTTTATATTCACTAGAAAATATATTAGCCTTAATTCAAGCGTGTGATTAAGGTATTAGTAGATCGATGAAAAAATATTGTGAGATGAGTGTTAAAACTCTTTGTAACATGGATGGTAAGAGTATGAGTCAAATGAATTAGGAAGGAAAGCTAATTTCCTTGGTTAAGTATCTGAAGTCTTAATATCAAGACTCAGAAAACACAATAAAAACTATTTTAAGTATGAAAAGGAAAATATTTTAATAAATGATGAAGTAGAGGAAGTGTAAAGAAAAAAAAAGCAAAGTCTAGAATTAAAATATATTGTTGAAATTTGATGAAAGCATGAAGTTTGCGATATGAAAGAGAAAAAAATGGTAGCTTCAAACTGTTTTTTGAAACAAATCTAAGCACATCATGAAATGAACTTTCTGAAAAAGAAGATCATGAAATCGGTGAATGTCCTACATATTCTGAGATGACAAATGTCCTCCCAATGTTAAGCTTAGGGTTTACAGTATCGGTAAAATAATTTCCAGAAGCATTATGATTATGAATAGACCATAAATGAAATTTTGCGTAACAACTGCAGACAACCCACTACAATAGCTGTTTCCTAATTAAATTGCTGTTAACGTAAGTATTTATACGTTTCTGTCATATTTAGCTTAAATTGTGTAAATAATATTAATTTGAAGAATATTTTGTTAGTGAACAAGAATCAACTTTTTTAATAATGTTATCATTTGGTTAATGTTATCGAAATAGCCATGGACAAACGTAATCACACAAAACGGCGCCTACTGAAATTTTTTTCAAAAATGTTCAAAATTGCCTAAATTACATTAGATTACATTTTTGTCTTAATCCCAAAGAAGTAAAACAACGTTTAGACCATGTGCATGCTGATTCGTCACTTTCTGTTGGAAAGTGAAAGAATATGTAAAACAAACTTTGCATAGTTCAAGAATCCATAGAATGTGATTCGCGTGAAATCGACAAGAGAAAGTATTAACACGAGTAAATATGAAATGAGAGTAAATACAGATTGATAAGACATTAAACGTCAACAAGACAGCAGCAATGTTGAATCTACCTAAAACAACTATTTTAAGCATTTCTTTAATATTAAAATCTTTGCATGATAGGCACCTCGACTTCTTCCAGCAATTCAGAAAGAGCAACGAGTGTCAATGCATTTTAAAAATAAGAATACGGATTTAAGGAGTTTGATCCTCACCCCTTACAGCCCAAATTTATCTCCAAGTAATGATTATTTGTGCTCCTAAATAGAATTTGACTTTTGGTTAAACAGATTTAATGACGATAAAAGCATGAACAGAGTTATTAGGAAGCATTTTGAGGAAAAAAAAAAAAAAAAAAAAAAAAAAAAACCTTTACTGGAGATTTTACCGGCATGGAACTACCAGTGTATCAATGACCCGGCTACTGGTGCTTGTAAAAATGTTTTCGGAATGATGATAGGTCCTTTCGATACTCAAGAAAAGCATTTCATTTTGAATATTTGTGTACTTGAGAGCGAATATTACCACAGCAATAAACTGCTTTAATCAACATGATGGTTTACAGTTCTAAGATAGAATGACACACATTATTAATTCTGGAACAGCGATTGAACTAATTCTGTATTTTCCAAGCTGGATGACATAAAAATACAATTGGTATACTCATTTACAACTTCCAAAATATAATTATAGAACAGTTAATTCCATCCTCTTTTGCCATCCATTGCTAAAAGATCATTTCCTTGCAGAAACGTGAATGAAGTAGTTTTATGCACATATTTAACACTTAAATTTAACGAGGTTTATTTTCAAGGAGGTTTGCCGTAAGCAAACCTCCTTGAAACTATGAAATTCCACCTAGTTGAGAACCTTTGTCATACGAGTGAAATAACTAACCTTGTACTTACGATATGTATGGAGAAATCAAAACTTTATAAGAAATGTGATTTCGTATGTGTAGTGTTATATGTGAGGTTATTAGAGCTCTGATGCACGTAACAATTTTGCAGCGAATCCTTCACATGGTTGAATTCGAAGCAAGTTACTAGTGCATAATTGTTTCAGCAAAGCTAACATGTAAAATCTATGCAACATAGAAAAGTTGAAATTAATGCGCTCACGGCGTAATTGATAAATACTTACATTAAAATAGTCATGTCTTTCTATAAGCACGCAGCGCTGGCCAATTAAAACAAGACTATTTTCTATGAGAAAAACGATACTTACGGTCCAAGCATCAATCACACGTTAAATTGGAGAATTGGCTAAGCATATACATAGTGATGTTTTATGATATGTTTCTGTCTTCCACTCGCAGATTTGTAGTTGAAGCCAAAATTGTTCCGTCCACCTCAACTTCTGGCCACGGTATAAGCTCATCCTGAAGTAATGAAAATAATATCGTAAATTTAGAACTTACAATAACATAAATATATAATAAAAATAATTTGAAAAACGTTGTTTCAATCAACAGTACCTCAATCAAATTTACATTCAGAGTTTACGAAGCCTGTGCTATTAACAAATAAGCAAACAGCTAATATAGTTTTATTTATCGCAAAGACAAACAACGGCAAAACAGACAACAATCTAAATATCTTTTCATAATAGTTAAAGATGTAAAATATCCATAGCCAGTAAAAAAGGCTAAATTTTGGAATTTTAAATGTCCATCTAAAAAATGAATGAAAATAACGGTAGCGATTTTGCGTCGAACCCTATAAACGGCGTATAACTTTTCAAATCGTTGCCAACAAATACTATCGCCCTGTACTATATTTGAAGAAATTACATAATGAAGAATATACATAAATGTATGTATGTTTCTGGCATTGTGATAAAACAACAGTACCTAGAGCCATCGAATTTTGAATGACGTAATCCTACTGTGAATATGGGCATTAGAATGCCCAAATTTGAAACTTGGAATTTGGTTTGTTATCGATTTCATATTCTGTAAAACTTTAACGAATTTTTGATTAACAACCTCAACGCTTTAAAAGCGATTAATGGCAACACTCTACGGGAAAAAAATTATCTCCAGGGCGCGGAACTGCGTTTTGGAAATTCTGAAGATATGCTTATTTTAAAATTATTTTGCGACATTGCTGTTGAACTGAATTTTGTGGTTTAAGTGCAAAGAACATGATATTTAATAAATAAAGGTGACACACAAAACGTTAAAAAAAAGGCCCTTTGGTCGTAATTTAAAATCTGAAACCTTTCAGTTTTTTATGCCTAACATTAATTTGAATTTTGTAGGAAGTGCCTTTTAACGTTAGAATTATATTTAGCAGAGTCTTTCCAAAATTATTTCAACGTTACGTTGCATTATAACATCAAGTGCGTATATTTCCTGCTTTGTCAAATCTTGCTACTGGAACAAGGTTTCATTATCCAACACTGTCGACTGAAACACACAGAGGTTACTATTAACTAGTTATTGTTATGACGTTTTAAATTAATTTTATTGAATGGCACCAAAAATTGTTATGATATCCTAAAGGTAAGGTACCTAAAAGGTTTCCTACTCAGTTGACAAAACACTTAAAATTTTCTAACAACAGTAATATACTAAATTCAATAAAACCTGTACATTTGCGTTGTGTTTTCGGATTAACCCTGAAATCAATTTGAGAAAGAGACGGGTGAAAATCATGAGCACACACACACAAAAAAGAAATAAATAAACATTGACTGATCTAGAAAAGTGAGCCTATTTATTAAATTCTTCAAGAATTACTTAATCCATTAATTTGAAAGCAATTTATATTCAATGAGAACTGTAACATACTGATGATTACACAATGCATAATTAACTTAGTAAGCAAATTATATTTAAGCTGAACTGTAAAATATTGCTTTCTACAAATGCATACCCCTACAGAGTAATATTACTTTTATCTTAGACTCAATAATATCAAAACTATTATTTCTATTACATTCAGGTAAACATAATCAGATAAAACTTTGGATAAATTAACAATACCCTCCCCGGAAAAAAAAGAATAATTAACAAGTTATACTTTCCAAAAAAAAAAAAAAAAAAAAAAACATTTCACAACAGAATAATCATACCAATGTAATTCAGGTTATTGCACATAGTAAACTTTCTATTTCAAAAAGAATGATTTAACCGGGTAAAATGTTAATTAAAATCAGGTTATTACATCCTACAAGCAATTTAGCCCCTAAGAGGAGCAAAGAAGCTCAAATAATGACATCTTTACCAATCAATCCTCACCATGAAAGAAATTCACAAATTCAATTAAATAATTTAATAGAGAATATAATTCCTTAACCGATCTAACTAAGTTACATTCACCGTTTCAATTAAATAATTTAAATAAGGATATATTTCCTTAGCCAATCTAATAATTTACCTTAAGGACAAACAGAATGATTACATTAGAATTAGGTTATTTTACTCAACTACAATATTTTAATGCCACTAATTAGGTTATTTCAATCACTATTAACTACAGAAATTTTTTTTTAACATCAGACCAACAAATAAAAGAAAAAAAAAAAGACTTATCTGAGAAATCACATGCGGCAAGTGAATAGGAGGAGGAGAATACCCTCATATTTAAAAAAATTATCATTGATGCCAAGGAGGACGGCTGCCAAGCGTGGTGGAAAAGTAGAAGAGTTCATATGTAGATGAATTTTCAATGGAGTCGAGAAGTTTCTAGTTGATTTAGGATGCACTATGGAGGTTCCAAGTTCTTTTGATAATTGATTTACAATCCAATATTGAAGTTAGTAGTTGTTCAAGCCAAGTGATGCATTATGTGTAGCGACCCCGGAGCTAGCAGTGAAGGAACTTCTGCATAGCGGAAAATAATTCTTAAAGGCGTGGAAGAAACATCGAGACAGATGAAGACTCTATTCGTGAAGAAGAGACTGAAATTTTCTTCTTAACGGCACCATTACTAGGCATCACCTTTCGTTGCATTTTTTATTTTAATTATCTTTTGAGAACTTACATATTCAAACACACACACACACAAAAAAAAAAAAAAAAAAAAAAAAAAAAAAAAAAAAAAAAAAAAACTGATGAGACTATAATTTAGTCGAGGACATGATGCATAAAACTAAGTCCCTCGTTCAAAAACTCAGGGCAAGAAGCCCGTAGATCCAAAGGTGGAAAAATGCCATTTTCCAAAAAAATTCAGCTGCCAGCGAGTACAGCGTCCGATGGTAAGTCAAAAGTGCAAAAAAGTCACCTCGTCCCTCAAAACAATCCCGTTAAAAGGGAGGACGCCGGACTGCCAAGTTGGCACAACCCATTTCTTCGCCGAAAGTTGAAATAGTTGCAACAACAGCATACCCTCATGTTATCAAACTCGCCAAATCCCCACTACTTTGAAACCTCAACGGAAAATCCATGTCGCCAAACCCTCGCCAAATAAACACCACCTGTGACCAGGGGGAAAATTAGGAATTTCAACAACCCTGCAAGGGGTCCCAACGAAAAAAAGAACGCTGAAAAACTCGCAAAAAGTGACTTTTCAACCGGAAAAGAAGGGCATTTCATCCCCCTTTAACTAAATCAACAAGAAAAGAAGAAGAAAATTTTACTAATTAAAGCTCATAACTGAAATGCAATTAAAGTTAGAAAAAACGAAAGTTATGCCAAATTAAAGAGCTAATTTTTCTGCAACTAATGATATTAAATACTAAGAAATCAAATTAATTTTTGACATGAAAAACTGAGTTTTATTACGTGAAAAAAAATCACTTATCCATTGTTTGCGTGTACAAGATTGAAGACGCAGTTCGCGTAAACTCGGAAAGCTAAAATATATTACACTAGAATTAATAAGCCAAAAAAGAATATAACCAAACTTGTGTAGCTCAAATTTTGAATAATTACAAATTAAAATTTTGATTTTTATGAATCACTTAAATTAAATTCGCTACACAACATTATTGATCATTGGGTTACGATAGACGATTTTTTTTAAAGTTTTATTTGATTTTAACAAGTTATCTAACAAGTGATTATTGTGTTGATCGCCAATAATCACAAGTTACTTTATGATATTTATGTTACGGTATGTCACTTTATCAGTCCAGGACTTTGAAATCATCAACTTCTCGGAATGCCAATGCAACAGCAAAGCAAAAGAGAACAGCACCCTGTATAGGGGTGCTGTTGTACTGCTGATAGAAAGCTGTTGAAAATGCAACAGCATTATATAGCCATATACAAGTGAAGAAAAGACATAAAATATCAGTAAACAATGACTGATGGTTGTTATTGACTACATGTGTCACCACCACTAACGTCCTTCCTTAAGGTCAATTATGCCCTTGAGTTTCATTTAATTTTAATAATTTATTATTTTACCCACACAAGTGGACCTGTGCGTTAACCACCAATAACTGTAAGTCACCACTGACGAAGAGTTTTGATGGAAACTCTGCCTTTCAGCTTAAATTCATTAAAAAATATTCAAATTTATTCCACTGTTTTGCGGGTGACCAGTGAATCAAATTCCAGTGACTTAATTAGGAAAAGTAGTCATGACTAGCACTGGTTATTTAATTCTTATTTTAATTAAAAGATTCAATTTTTTTCTAAAGTTTTTCCAATGATGATTCGTTAGTGTTGGGAAGCGGTGAATATCGATCTCTACTTAAGTCACAATTAAGCCATTAGACAATGTCTGTCAACCTTAAAGTTATTGGTCTTTCCGGGTGCTAATGTGTTTTCATATAATTTTAATTTAAAACTTCTTAACAAAATTTACTGTTTCGTTCCACTCTGGTGATCTGGTTATAATTTATTTCTCTAAATGTAAGCTGTTTCTTTCGTATAAATTTTGAATTTCGAGGAATAAGGATAAATTATAATGGCTAGATAGGGGAATAAACTACATATTTTAGGTCATAAAATATTCGACAAATGGAAACACAAGGCAATGCAAATTACATTTATATTACTTTATAAAAAATATTCCTGAATTTTGAGATAAAATCTAAGCATTACAGTTCTTAACAACTGAGAAGACGAGAACCAATAAAAACAACAAATAAAATATTTACTTGTTATTTACTCCTTTTTCACTTCACCCCATGGGTAAAGACACTTTTTTTTTTCTTTTTTTGGCAGAGTGGAGAAGTTCGTCTGAAACTACGGACGAACAATTCGGAACTTCGGCCGTTACTATCTTTTAATTGCTTCTCGACTGTGTTCTTCTCTAGGAGAAGAGACACATATATTTTTTTCCTCTATTTAGGGCGGCTTCTTTCAAAGAAAGGGTGTTAAAGAACTTCTTTTATAACTCTCGATACGCAAGTGAAGGGAAAAATTGAAGACTTACTATGATTCTATAGTTAACAATGTTCTTTGTGTACAAAACTTGAATATTT